CCACCCCCACCGAGCTCGTGTGTCCACCAAACCAGAAACTAACGGACCAAAAGTCGTCTGTCTCTCTGGGAAAATCGTTTGTTGAAAATGGAGCACCGGTCTTAACCATCGCAATCAGTGACGATTCCATCTTGTGGATATGCCCAGCAGAACAACATGGCTCCTCCCAACAAAAGCCACGTTGGTTGGAAAGCCACTCGTAACACATTACACATTTGTAATAGGCCGAACCAGAGCAAGAAAAATTGTAACTAAGTATCTAATGTCCTATTCCCAATCTGGGCCGAAGAATTAGCAAAAGCTACCTGGAAACCACCGATTTAAATGCATTATATTAACGATTTCTACTAATTTAATTTTTTTTTTTTCGTTCATGCTGTGATTCCCATCTTGGGTTCTGCATCTTTTGACCTTTTCACATATGTGCCAGAAATGACCAGCCCAAATTTGGCCAAATTTGAGAAAAATTTGGTTTGTTCTGTTTTGGTGGACACATGGCCTAGGCCAACAAGATGAGGGCACCTGAGCCCCGGGGGCGGTACTGGCAGGTTTTCTGTGAGCAGAATGATGGAAGCAGCGCACGTACTCTAAGGTTTCGAATAAACGGGAATAAACGGATAATAAACGGGGCAGGGGGGCGTGAATAAACAGATAATAAACGGAGGGGGGGGGGGGTGGAACATTCAACTTCATACCCGTGTACTAGTAGGAACAAATCTGTTTTATTTCTCCTTCTGTGAATAAAAGAATAAGAGATCATGACATTTTTGTGATTTTAGTAAGTTACTGTGACAATTTTTCCCTTTTAGGAACAAACCAGTTTCATTAAAAAAATATAAACCAATGTACAAAAGCTTTTAAAAAATCACAGAAAACGGTACTAATACAGAGGGTAATTTGCCATTTACAAAAACAAATAGAAGTTTCATTCAGATATCTAGATTCTAGATATAATGTTTCACATGATCGTCGGTTGTGGCAAGCTGGAAAATAATAAACGGGGGTTATGGAATAAGGAGGAGGGGGTGGGGTGGTGCTAAAAAAAACTGAACATTAATAAGCGGGGTTGGGGAGAAACGGTTATTCGATACTTTAGAGTTCAGACACGTGCTTGGGCTGGTGGGGTTCATTTACCGACATTATAACGTCCGTCCAATTTGCTATTTTTTACAATTTCACAAAAAAGATTTCCGTCCTGTTATGTTCCTGCCAGAATTTTACCTTCCTCGATAAACAGGAAGAAAGAGATAACAATTTGTACATCTATTAATGTAATTTATTTGATGAGTAAATACTTTATGAAAATAGAAGGTAAATTGATTCTGATCCAATTATGAAAATAATACAAGTTGTTGAAGTGTGAGTGATGTACTTAATATTCTCTGGTTATCTTTACATCTAGGCCCAAACGAAAAAATGAATTATAAACATTTGGTTTTTTCCAGCTAATTGTTCTGTGAAGAAAATAATTATCAAGTGTGGGAAGACTTTTTTAGGTCCATTTAAAAACGCATTTTTGTGTGGATTTTACTCAGAAACATTGATTAAAGACTTAAAAAATGTAAATTTTCAGTTTCCAAGTACTTTCAGGCTATGGAAGTTACTTAACTTTGGAGGCCGTTTTCTCGCTAATTTTACCTCTGAAACCAGGCGACCTCACCTTTTTCAATTGCTAACATCTCGACTTCTATTCAAGACAGATGGGCATTTTTTTCACGGATAACGACTGGTTTTATGTACACACATAGAAATCTTTCCATTCAAGATGAGTACATATTGTATTGCAATAAACCTCATCTGTCCAGTTGAGCAGTACATGACGTCACTGATGATTAAACAGTTTGTAAGTGAAGCTGTAAGTTAATGTGCAGCTTTTTCTCAGTTTTTAAAAGTAAAAATTGAATTGTTTATTTTTACAAGGATGTTACTAGAAGGTATTTATGACTTGTGATAATATAACTAAAATTGTATACATCTGATATGGGTTTTTTTGATAGGTTTATAATCTGTGCAAGGAGCATGGTTATTAACTCATATATTATTGAGCAAAAGAAATGTACATTTGGAGCTAGGATACTTGTTACTACCTGGTACTTATTCTGCTGAGTTGGTGTTGTTGATATTATTTATTAAACGTAGTGTCACGAACTGATATCGCTGCGTCGATGACTCGTTATTTTTGTTCTCTTGTATTGTTTGTTTGTATGTGTTTAATGTTAAAGAAGTTTTGAGATACAGAATTTTTAGTTTAAGTAAGAGTTTTATAGCACTTGCAACTCAATAAGGTCATATAAGTGCCGAAGATTAGAGGCGTTACAAGAGAGTAACAAACATAAAAAAGGAGGAGAGATCAGGACAATAGATTTTGATAGGAAAGAAGGAGCAAACCACACCAGAGCACCTACCAACCACCCACAGATACAGAATGGGCCTTAAAGTTGTAACATGAAAATGAAATTATTGTACCCAATTCTATATATAAATTATAAACAAAAACCCTCAATATTTTTGGTTAAATGTACTCTATAAATGGTTGCTATTGTTTGGAAAATAGAACTGAGTATGGTTGTCCAACCCGTGTGGGTGGGTGGTTCGCCGGTGCTCTGATGGGGTTTGCTCTTTCTTTCCTATCAAATATCTATCATCTTTATCTCCCCTCCTTCTTTTTTATGTTTGTTACTCCCTTGTAACACCTCTAATTTTCTGGCGCTCATATGACCTTATGCAGTTGCGAGCGCCGTAAAACCTCTACTAAAACAAAAACAACTCGTGTCGAAGATGCATTGGCAGGTTTTGTAGTTTGTGTGTGTGTGAGAGAGAGAGGAATTTAGAGACTTATATTTATTTAATAATGATAATATTAAAGATAATTGCATATAAGCGCTTAAAATATCTATGCTCTACAGCAAGCTCTACATGTGCTTTACAACTATTATAACCCCAGCAGTTCTTTGAACTTTTGCAAACTTTCTTGGCTTCCTGGGAAGCATACAGTGCAAACTGCTGATTATACCGTCTAAAGAACTAACAAGATATTTCTTTGTCTATTACAATAATAAAGCTGATACCCATTCCCACCCAGATGAAGTGAGGAAAGTCGTGTAAAGTGCCTTTCTGAAGGACACAACATCAGACCCCTAATGGTATTCGAACCAGAACCTTAATATAGAGAGTCCGAGAGCTTACCTATCAGATCAGCGATGCCACATAATACAGTGGAGTCCGATTGTCTGCCTAAAGTGAACACGCTTTATTTGAACATTCGGTTGGTGAACGATATTCTGTGGTCCCGATTGAAACGCTATTTGTTGAAGGAAAAAATATTGTGGATAAAATGAACCGATTTCTTGCGGAAATCGGATAAAGTGAACACCCAAAATGATTGAAAGCGAAGTACGGACCGACCGTGTCACTGTCGCCATGCTGTGAAAATAAATTTCTTTGCCTCGGGCATTGGCAGACATAAAGTCATATGACTATGACATGAGCGCCACGGGGTGGATGTCAATAAAGAAGTCCATACAGGGCATCAGGCTTACTCTGCTCACCCCTCTAGCCTCAACAGTCAACAGTACAAAGTCTGCTTCGACTATCAAAGCATAAAGCATCTCGGAAATAGCAGTTCGCAAGAGAGTGACAAACTTACAAAAGAAGTAGAGGAAAATGACGACAGTAAGGATGAGGAAAGAAAAAAACAGCGGTTCCCTCCATGTTGCTCCGGCACAGTATGAGCATGACACTGATAAATCAACCCATATACAATTCTACTATGCGTAAGAACATGCTAATATTCCCCCTTTAGGAATGGCCTAAAGGCAATTATTTTAGTCAGTAGAACTGCACTGGTTTGGGGGGGGGGGGGGGGTGCCCACACACTTGTAAAAATATAAAAGCCACCTGTGTTGGATTTTGTTTTAGCCAATATACAAAGATGTGTGACTTTGGTGACCTAGTGATCATTTTCTCAGACTTGCAAACATTAGGTCATGGGTTCGAATCATGTCAGGGACCTGACGTTGTGTGCTTGGGTAAGGCACTGTACATTACTTTTCCTCACTTCACATCGATGGGAATTGGAGTTCGGCTTGATAGTCGAAGCAGACTTTGTGCTTTTGAAGCTAGAGAGGTGAACAGAGTAAGTCTGATTCCCTGATAAGACTTCTCTGTTGACCCCCCTGACGGTTATATGACCTTATGCAGTTGCGAGCGCCGTAAAACATCTACTAAAAAAAGTAACAGGGCTGTAGGCCTATACAGCGAAATATCTTGCATTGTACATTTACCGGGAAGACGAGAATGTGTCTGAGTGTTCTAATGTCTTTTTTTTTTTTTGGCAAGTGTTTTACGGCGCTCGCAACTGCCTAAGGTCATATGAGCGCTCGGGACACACTAAACTTTTTCAGTTGGTAGGAAATTTTGAATTTTTCCCGGGTGGCTGCCGAAGCATACTCTTTTATCGCTTTCAGACCTCCAAGGGATCTTTAACGTGCGCAACTTGCACACGGGCCCTCCGAGATTTTTCACCCTTGTCCGAGAAGGCTATGTGTTCATCTTTCCTACCAGAAGATCAGGGGTGTGGCTGAAAGACAGCAGTAAGGAGGAGCCAAGGAGTAGCAGTAGAAAGGCTGCTGAAATTTTTTTTAAAAGTCAGGAGCCCAGAGGAGGGGGCAAAGGAGGTGAGGGGATGGGGGCAGAAAGAAAAGACGGAAGCAGACGACAGAACATTGCAAGAGAGCAGGAAAGGGGGTGAAAGGAGACAATTTTAGCGGAGAAAATTCGAATCCGAGACCTTTGGATGAGAGGCCAACACCTTAACCTCTAGGCCACGAGAGCCCCCGTTCTAATGTCTGCTGAGGGCAATATTACAAAGGTTGAAAATGCGCGCAGCACTTGTTGTAGAGCGTGGATATGCGCTATATACAGTTCTTGTTGTTGCTGTCGTCGTCGTCGTCGTCGTCGTCGTCGTCGTCGTCGTCGTTGTTGTTGTTGTTGTTGTTGTTGTTGTTGCTGTTGCTGTTGTTATTGTTGTTGTTGTTGCTG